TTCTCCAGAAGAAATGATTGGCGTTTCGGGTATTCGATGTTTGTCACCAGGCTTCGAAGATCAACGGTATGAAGATGATCATTATGAAACTAAGACATCGATTGAGCAAGTACGTACATTGCTGCATCAATTTTGAAAGATTGTGAACATTTTATTTTTTCGTTTTAATTACTTTCAAATTTTAAAAAATGTGAAATTTCTTGAATTGAGATGTCGAATAGAGAGTCATCATTGTATTGGAAATAATTCTCTTAAAAGGATTTTCAAAATATTTGTATATGATTTATTCTTGTCTTTTTAAAGTTTGATAACCTACCGCCAAAAAAAAACCAAAAAAAGTCCGTATATCCAACTTATGCCGCAATCAGAAACAGTTCCTGTTTCTTTTTCTGGCAAAAGGGCCACGTTTGAAAAAAAGGGAGTACTTAATCCTGATTTTGTTTATGAAATAACTAGGAATAATAAACTATTTTTAGATTTTGCGAGAGAAACTCGTCTGATTAAATCGAAATTTTTGTCCTCCAAGTGCAATGTTCTGATGAAGTTTGGGAAGAAAAATTCTATTCCGGACGATTACTCGTAAATTTGCAGGAATTCCAGGAATAACAAGGTATGTGGCTCAACTAAAACCAAATGCCATGGCTCGTAGTTCAGTGGTGGCAAACTAAAATTAAATGAGATTTTTTATCTCACTCAATATTTAATCATGGGAACCACAACAAAAGAGATAAAAGTGTATTTCTATTTCTCTTCTGGTATGCTTGCAGATTGAAGGCAATTTGTCAACAAAGTCATTCTTGATTATGGGGAGTGAGTGAATATTAACGTCACACTGTTCAGCTACACGAGGGCTTTTGGCAATGGACCACGTAAATTTGAACTATGTTCAGGTAATGTGGATGACACCTGAGCTGGCACCCCCTCTCCTAACTACCACACCAACGGGAGGACGTTCCAGCTCTTGAAAGATTTAACGTGCATTGCTGCCCTACGCGGTAGGTCTTTAGTGGTACTGGGCTCGAACTCATGACATCCCTGCCATGATCCGATACCTTGACCACTGGGCTACTGCAGCCCCTTAATCATGTGGAAACAATTTCAAAAAAGATCAGTGGTGATGATAATATAGTGAAAGTCAACAAATTGAAATTTGGAAAGAGAAAATGTAATGGAGGACATGCAGTGGAGGGACAGTGGGTATTTGGAGGTGTAGAACGAGAATCAGGTAAGCTATTTTTAGTAGCAGTACACAGCAGATCTTGTGAGACGGAAGTCAGTACTGTAAAGCAGTGATCCGCAACCCCCGGTTCGCGGAGCGGTGCTGGTCTGTGGGTCAAATGGTGCCGGGCCGACTAAAGAACATTAAACTATTGCCATTTTATTTAAAGTGGTACATTTTTCTCGGATTTTCGCAACTTTCTTTGAAAATTACTTTATATTCCACATTAAATCACTGTTATTCATTTTTGGTAGAACTATATTTTATTCTGAAGGCATATTTAAATGTAACTAAATTAAAATTGTTAAATCAAAACAATCTAAAATATAAACAATCAACGTGTCCCACCCTCAGCGGGCAGTGGTAAAATTATCAAACGTTGACCAGTCCACAGCGATAAAAAGGTTGCGGAGCTTTGCTATAAAGGAATGGATAGAGCCCTGAACTATGATTTATTCTGACAAATGGAAGGCATATGATACGTTAGGATGAGAAGGGTTTGATAATTTAATGGTAAATCACAGCCTTCATTTTGTTGATCCATTAACAAATTGCCACACAAATACCATAGAAGGCACTTGAAAGCATGTCAAAGATTAACTCCCTACATGCAATTGAAAAATAGACTTTAAATTTCATCTGGCTCTATATATGTTTGGGACATCATGCAAAAAGAAGGGAGTGAATTGTTTCAATAAGTTTTTAGAAATTGTTAGGGACATCGATTGGGTTGAGAGGGATTTAGGTCAAATTCTTTAAAAGGGGAACAACTAAATCAAGATTTTTATCTCAATCTACCTTGCCGACAAGTGATTACTTTGGTCGTTTTGTGACAATTTTTTATACATCAAGTCCTGCAAGGTAAGTTAATTCTATTTATATTTAATTTATTAAATGTAAGCAAGTAAAATTCTCGTTATATTTCATTTTATTACTTTAATTTTAATGTTCCTTTGCTTTAATATGCTTAATTTTAATATTTCTCTTCTAGGTTTAATGTGATAATGATGATAAACAGAACAATTTGTTCATTACTATTCTGAATCTTTTATTCTTAAATTCAATGCAGTATTGCTAAACTAATTAATTATTATACAATTTACATTTAGTTCTATAAAATTTGTTTTTTTCACTACTTTTTAAATTTAATATTTAGGTTGGAATTCTCTCTCATATAGTCTCTTAGCCTCTTTTCTAAAAATATTAAATGTTTCATTTTTATGCTTCTACTAGGATTAGAAAGAATCCCGCCATTCATTTTCGTATAAAGTTGGTTGGGGGAAGGCAGGCTAAGATCGAAGACGGAAACTTAACTTTTGTGGAGTTTCGATGGGGAAAAGGGAGGGGGCAGGGTACCACATTTCGTTTCGTCAGCCTAATCAATAATTAAATAGTCAGGAATTAAATATAAATAAACAATATGTAAATAATAAGTATTATTAGTAAATAACTAAATAAATATAAATATTAAGAAATAACAGGAAATACGGTAATCTTATGTCTGAACAGTCTAAAATCCAAGAGGAAAAGAAAGATTTTAATAGATAGAAGTTAATCCACATAGGAACTAAAATTGTTTTAGAAAGTTCTTTTCTTGAAATAACTGCTCTGATTGGAAAATTGGGCATAAAACGAAAAGCCCGCCAAACCTCACAGGAAAAGAGGGGGAATCAAGGTAGCCAGAATGTAGCACAAATCACTTGAAAAAAAAGTCTGTATATTGAACTTATGCCTGTAATTGAATGAATTCATATTTCCATGCTGTATTTTTGTCTGTTTTATGTGAATTAGTTTATTCTCCTGTATCTTGATTATAGGTAAATATAAAGAAAACATGATAGTGATAATGATCACATTGTACCGATTAAATATGTTTAATTTTCTCTAAGAAAATGACTTGTTAATGTTTTCAAATAGTTACTAAATATTTGATACTCTGGTATATCATATGATGAATTAATTTGATGTATTTCATTTCTTTGATTTAATAAAGGTAAAAGACTATTTTGGTTCATACTTTTGTAACAGTTTTGAAAGTTCACCAAAATAATTCTGAAGCGTGATTTTTAAGTTTTCATGTTTTGTCAAAAAGAAATAAAGATGACATTCTCTCTGGGTAAAAAATTTGGAAGTGCTGCAAATGTGAAAAGAACAATATGGTATTCATTAAAGTCACCAACAAAGATTCAATTGCGAGTAAGCTAAGACAATTGTAATGAATCTAAAGATCACCATAGTTCTCAATCAGAATTGTCCCAAGTACCATATCTATTGCTATTAATTCATTTATATTAACTGTGATGAGTAGATGTATGGATTATGCTAAGATTCAATTTTTCCTTGGGAGTATCAATAGAGATACGTCTACTTGTGTGTATGCTTGGCCAGATATTTTGCTGCCATTAGTATATATCTTAATTGCATTATTAGGGAGGTTATTGTGACTGTCCTGATTAAGAACATATAGATCCTTTCTTAACTGACAACTCCAGTTTAGATTTAAAAAAAAGGAAACAAATTTCTGTTTTTGTTTCTAATCCCAGATGGTGTAGCTAAGTTACCCCATCTCAATGAAATCAAACAAATTTCTTCATTATACACTGTTAAAATTATTCAGTTTTTTTATTCAGTTCCATGAAAATGAAATGAAATAGAGGTTTTTATTAAACAAGAATTATGTACAACTGAAGTCTCTGTCATAAAAAACTTAAACTTCTCTATTCGATAAACTACAGTGAAACTTTTTATGAATATCGTAAAAAATAACAAAACGTTTTTTTTAAAAATGAAAATCATGCAGATCTTTTCCATTCTGACCACAACTGGAGTCTGACTTAAATAAAAAAAGAAAACAAAAATTTCTATATTGTCTACCGTGAAACTTGTGAAAAACATTCATTTCTTGCTCTTCCATTTCTATGATAATTCCAATTCAGTGTAAGAAAGATTGAAATGGTCTTTTTGATTAAAATATGCAGATTTTATCTTTCCTGATGACAACTAAAAGCTTCTTCACTTATGACATTAGGAAAGCTTTTGGAAAAATTAATCAGTTTTTCTCCTCATTTCAGATGAAAATTCCAATTTTTTAGCGAAAAAGAATGAAATTACCTTTATGCAGAAGTATATGCAGATTTTCTTTCTTTTTTTTTTTTTTATGAAAAATTCCATTTTAATGTAAAAAAGAACAAAATAGGAACTAGATGCTGTGTTTTCGAGGAGAAAAGGAATATCACACACACACATTAAAATTTTTCGCTGTTTCATAAATAGGGTTTCTATTTTGGTAAACTTTTTGCCCAGCTTGGTGATGAAAAAAACTTCGCACTAAGGTGTGAATCAAAATTGTGTGTGGGTGGAACTAGTAGTGTATAAGAGTAAATTGTGAACCACCCTTTTATTAAATTAAGACTACATTCCATATATTTTTTCATTAAAACATTTAGAATGTAATGTTCATGTGCACAGCATATTGCAAGATATGGTTTGAAATACTATTTTGTTTAATTTTTCAATTCCTACTATTAGTTCACACTCTCCCTATATATATTTATTTACATATATATATATTTTGTTCAAATTTTCAATTGTTAATAAAATAATTTTTATTTATCAACTCAAGTTCAAATATGTTTTTTTAAACTTGTAGTGGGATATCACTTGATGTTAATACTGTTTTTTCAAATATTAATTCATTAATTAAATTAAATTAATGAATAAAAAGAAGCAAACAAAAATAATAGGCCAACAGCATATATTAAAAGGAAAATCGCTTGTTGGTATCCCTGTAGCGAAATGGATAGCGTGTTGGACTTTTAATTCGAAGGTCATGGGTTCGAATCCCACTTGGGATGGCCTAATTTTTGAGAATATGATTTCCTTTTACTATATTATTTTATTTGAATAGTTAAATTTAATGAATGAATAACTAGTAACAAACAAAAATAATAGTCCATCACCATATATAGAAAAGAAAATGGAAAAACGCACGGAAAATCACTTTCTATTTTGCCACTTAATATTGGGATTCTGTCATATGTATATACATATTGATATTAATTGTAATTATTTAATAAAAAGTAACTAAAATAAAATTTTTCTTTGTTGACCTAAATGGCAATTGACTTAAAGTTTTTTTATGTATATTGTTTATTCATTAGATATATTTATTTATCATCCATTTCATCCTTATTGTATGATAGCACATCTCTGCAATATTTTGTACTCTATTGTGTTTTCCTTCATGATATATTAAACTTACATTCAAACAGAGAAAATTGAAATTGCACCTAGCAGTAATTTCTGTTAAATATCTTTTAGTTCAACATTTACCTGGCTGGTTAGAAAATGAAATATCTCTCAAATAGAGCATGTTTGGATCTAATGGGGTCATTATACTCATTTCTTAGACAATATGTCTTTGAACCACCCATTTTGAGCAAATTGCTATTTCTATCTGTTTTGAAAAACTAATTTTTATTTTTAAAGAAAATTTGAAATGAATTTGTTATTTTCATTACTTGGTAATTTATTATACCTATGATTATGTTTATTATTCTTTCTTATTTTTAAGATTCCTTATTCCTTTTTAATTACAGTGTGAAGTTGAAGACTCAGTGAACAGATGCATTCAAGTTCTGAAGCATACCATAGAGATAGATCCAAAGTAAGAAATATTACTGTTTCATATTATAAGAATGTGCTATATATATAATATACTATAATGGCTATTGTTATACTATAATGGCTATCTTATTTTTGAGCTATACTGTTTTGTTATATTTCTTTCTTTCTTTACTTTATTAGAGTTTAAAAAATTTAGTATATGATTATTGATTGTATAAAGACTCAAAGTATAGGAAAATCTTATTTAATTATATTGAAGTTTCATCTTTGTAAATGCAAGTTTTGATTTTAATATAAAGAAAGGTTTTCTCTGATATTTATTTTATCCTTTTAAATATAATCCATCAACTTTTTTTAGCTCCTAGCTATTTTATAATTATTTTTTAAAATGTTAATACAAAAGGAATAACATTTGATAGAATCTGTGTTATTGTAATTGAATAATGTGTAAATGATGTATATTTTGATATATTAGGATTCATGTCATTAATTATTTTAATAGGGGTCCTGAACTCTACAAAGATATACATATACAGTTTTTGAAAAAAGGGCTTCATCATTTGCCAAATTCAATGCAAGTAAGATATTTTATATGACAGTGGTGTACACAAGGATGGGATTTGGGGGTTCAAATCCCCCATAGACCAATAAATTTTCAATTTTTACCATAGATTTGACCCTTTGATACTTTCATGTATGCTTTTTTGGAGTATACCTCCCTGCCATTAGTGTATACTCTTCTTATATGACAAGTTAAAATGCCCTAAAAATTATTGTTAATGTTTGTAAGTTAAATGTTCTGTGAAATGTAATATAATGCGCTGTAAATTATTACTGGTAACGTGGAAAAAGTTAGCTATGAGAATGATAAATATAGCATTACTAGTAACATTTCTAACACTATTAGTAACAAAAATATTTGGCATATATTGACATATATTCAAGGAAAGCTTAGAATATCAATCAAATACCTTTGTGTATAACTTTTGGAAATTGTTCAAATGCCATCTTTAACAAAATGTTATTTTTAAGTATGAGCTCTCTCATCTTATTTATATGCATCTATTCAATTTTAATGTAAACATTGAAACATGTTGTATAAAGATTATTGAAAATGTCATCCCTTTTCTATATTGATTACATTCAATTTAAATAGTAATATTAAAGGATTGTAATCCATCTACACTTAAGAGGATATTTTGAAGAATAAAGGGAAATGTAAACAAACTGGTTGCAATGACTACATAATAAGTGATCAAAATATCTTTAATGGGGAAAAGAACTACTCATTAAACTAACATATTAGAAGTAAGTTTGGATCTTAAATTTTCCTGAATAACAAAGAGCTGTTTGATCGTTCAATCCTGTAGTTTGATTTTTTTAAATGAATATTGCACTTTAAACCACCCAAGGGGTATTGGTGTCAGACCTCATATTTTTGAACCTTGGTCAAGTAACAAGGATGATACTTCTTCCTCCAAATTTCCACACCTTGCCAACATGAGGACTTTGAGACCCTCTACATGGTTTGTTTTCAGTTGCATCAAGACTTAAACCCACAATTGAACAATGCTGGTCATGAGTTCACGACCATGACTACTCAGCTTTGTGGCCACAATTCAATCCTTGTATAGAGAGATGAGCAAAAAAGAACAGGTTACTTTCAAAAACAACTGCAAGGGGCTTTTACTTTTTCAAAAGTTGCTCATTGTTTTGTGTAATATAATTGTATTTAAGATCCAAATTTTTTTGAATGCGATATTTCTCAGTTTTAATAATTTTGCATGCTACATATTCTTTCTTGTACATGATGTTTTTAATCTTATTATTGTAACATAATATAAGTTTTGGTTTCTGGGAAATAACATTCCTGTCCTGCTGGAAATTATCAAACTGAAATGCAATAGAAGCAGTAGTTAATAAAACTTTAGTTTATTCTTCATTTTGTCAATAGTGCTTTTTCCTGTATTCTTTTGTCTGGCCTTGTATGCCTAAGGTTGCGGGTTCAACCCCGGCCCAACTCGGTGGATTTTCATGATATAGAAAATCAATAGCGTCCATGTTGCATGATTATGCTACATGTGAAAGATCACTTGAGTGCATGTTTGGCTTAGGTGCTCTCAGCAAAAATAAATTCCTAAGTCAGTTTTGCATTGTCAGGTGCCTCCCTCTGGAGAGGAAACTGGGCCTCAAAGTTACCTGCAGTGTTTGGTATTCCACCTATATGGTGCCACACTAAAAAGAGAAACAAGATCTCTTGGAATGTACTAGGTCTGCAATGTTAAAACACCAATCAACAGCCCCATTAGAAATAAAATTTTTTTTTGTTATTACTACTACAATAAATTTAATTCACCAAGTTGGTAATAAATATGAGTGTGGACTAAAATAGGATTTGATCTAGTAGCTCTCTCAATAAAGTATTTCTGATTTAGATTAATTCTCTTTTATTTTCTGTGAATAAAAATTTACATTTAGCTATCACATACTTTTAATCTTTATACATCTAAATCATGAAATTTATTCTAAAATTTAACAGTAGTTAGTTATTTCTGTTATAATAAAATTAATTTTTCTGTTTCTGTTGTTTTCTATAATAGTTAAATACATATGTCTGAAAACAGTAATGATGTCATAGCTATGTTAGTAATAGAGACAGGGTTATATTAAAAAGGTGATTCTAAAATCTTTTGATGTGATTTCAATATAATGAAGCGTTTTAATTGGACATAATAATAAAAATGAACATTATCTCATTGGAAGTCAGTAATATTAATAATCTTGGATTAATATTTTGTTCTTTTGTGAGGCAAATGCATTATCATTGGCAGTAAAATGCTACATAGATGTTGAATAAGTGAGAGTAGTGTAAATATGTAAAAGATAATTTAATATTTGTAAAAGTTTTGGTTACATTTTATGTGTTTGTAGATTTACACAAAGAGTAATTTCGTAATTATGTGTAATGAGTATTTTTAATATCTGGGTGATTATGTGAGGACACAAATAGATTGACTTGTTTTGGAAAAAATCTAGATCTTTTTAATAATTCTTTGTTTTTTTATATATGTGTTTGTTATATATGAAAATAATTATGCTCCATTGAATCATGCTTTTCTAATTTTGCTTTATTTCTATGCCAGGTGCTAGATTCAAGTCGGACATGGTTATGCTATTGGATACTGCATTCTCTTGAACTCTTAAATGAACCCATTCCTAATGAAACAAAATCTCAGTAATTACTTTTGCTTTCTTTATTAAATGCATCAACGAATGGATACTGCATTATAACTAAATGTTAAGAAAAGAACTGAAAATATATATTTATGTGTAATAATTTTTAATCTATATTTTTCCTTTCAAGTTATGTATATGTTGGTAAAATAATTAAAATACTAATTTCTTAAGGAATTCTTTTAGAACTTTTTAATTTCTTTAAAATTTTTCAGTTTTGTTTAAATATTTATTGATATTTATATTAAAAATTTATATCATTAGGATTGATTAAATTTTTTTTAAGCTTCTGCTTGTTGTTTAATATATTAAACTTAAGGTTCTTTTCATTTCTTGTGATTGTTTTTAAAACTGTATTTATTTTTTTTGAAGACTTTATGTGTTGGAAAGAAACATCAGAGTGATTTAATACCTTTAGCAAAATATTCTGTGCAATATATGTTATTTAACTGAGGAATATAAAGCAGGAATTTTATAATGGAGGAATACATAAAAGATAATTATTTAGGGATTTGATGTTAACAATTTTTTCTCCTTCTTAGAGTTGCTGGATTTTTGAGCTTATGTCAACATGAGAAAGGTGGATTTGGAGGTAAAATTGTCGTGATGTTCGTAAATTAGTGAAGTATTTCAACATATATTTTAAAAATTAATGCATTTCTTGTAATATTTTGTTTTTAGGAGGTCCAGGTCAAGAACCACACCTGGCTCCTACATATGCAGCTGTCAATGCTCTTTGTATTCTTAGAAGTAAAGAAGCATATGATGTTATTGACAGGCAAGTCCTATATTTTCTTAAAATTTTTTAATGTCTCTTGCAAGATTAAATATCTACTTGAAAGGAATGGAAAGAAATCACACAATGAATTTTTGCCTTCTACTAGAATATTATATATAAATTAATTGCAGTACTTTGCTGAAACGTTTTTGGAAAATATTAACAATCTTTATACTATCTTTAATAATTATCTCAAAATAGTACTGTTATACATTG